AAAAAAAAAAAAAAAAAAAGAAAAAAATCATTGAGAACAAATTAAGGAATAAACTTAAATTTTATCGACAGACTGGGGAAACTTTTTAACGTCAAAAGCTTTAAGAACAACTTTAAACATCTTGTTTCTCCCGTTTCTGTTTCGTTGCTCTGTCTTGTTGACTAGGCTAAAGACTAGGTATTGAATGAAGTGCAATAAGTGCAAGCTTAAAGTGACGCGCAACTTAAAGTATGAATATGGATGAAGAATGATCTCAGTTATCATTTAATTTTAAACAAGGCAAAACTGCTAGCTAGAAGTTTCAAAACACTCGTCACGCTTATTTGAAAAGTTCCGACAAATTTTACGTTATGAAACAGTAGGAAATTTCATAAATTTTTACTACAAGTTTCTATAACTCCACGTCTACGAAATAGAACTTCCACGCTCACATGAAAGACGAGCTATTTCCTGCATGTATCGTTAGACGTAACACGTTGTGCAGCGTCGTGGAACCTGTGCAAAAAAGCAGATCTCCAAGCGGACCACATGGGAATCCATATCAATTCTTTTTGCAGTCGAAGGAGTCCTCGTCGGTGTTAAGCTGCGACATCTCTGCCGACGACAAGTACATCGTGACCGGATCCGGTGACAAAAAGGCCACTGTATACGAAGTGATTTACTAGACGCGTACGGTAAAGACGTTTCACGTTTTCCTCCCTTGGTCGAAACCCGAACTCTTTAACATGCTCTCCTGTTCGCGGGAGAGGTCCTACAAGTGAGACTTTTTAGCAGCCTTAGAAACCTAGACTGTTACTATAATGTGTATATATACATAACGAGTCTGTATTAACGGTCGGAATCGTGCTCGAAAGGAACAAAAGCACAGACGGACGAACGGAAGAGAAAAAGAAAGAGTGAATGTGTGCGAGTGAGTGAATGAGAGAGAGGAAGAAACATATAAAAAAGTAAAAAAAGAAAAACGAAGGAAAGAAGAGAAAGAAGAAAACTAACGCTAATTATGACGACGATCGAGAAACAAATGTGTGTGCCAGAGAAAAAGTTGTATATGTATATTTAGGAGTTTGCGTGTACGTGGCCCAACTGTACCTACGACCGTGTGATTTAAACTAGTAGAGGAAACTTTCTTCGTCGCGTGTATACAACGAGAACCTGTTAATGGGACGTTACCAAGCGGTTTTGCATGTGCGTTAAGTGACCAGACGAGAATCTTGCAAATGCTGATGCTAGATATGATTTCGTATTAAGTACCTAATTAAAGAATCAACATGCCCGGAAGGACATCCATCATACGACAAACAAAACACACGGAGGGAACGAACACTCGAAGCCTGTCTAACGAAAAATTATTACTTATTACCGCCTATGATCATTTTCTTTTCTCGGAAACTTTTACAATTTTTGCAATCACTGTCTCTTTACCGTATCTATGACCACGATCACAACTCGAGGAGCATGAGTGTTGCATGTATACATAACACGTGCACACATACGCGGAGTCGTTTCGAGAGAATCGCTGGTTGTAGCTACATCACCTTCGATAATACGTTTCACTATAGACCGGAAGCAAAGTGTAGCTTTCTTCTGTCGATTAATGTTTTATGCTGAGAGTACTTGTTGATATTAGCAAAAAAAAAAAAAAAAAAAACGAGGCAAATGAAGGATAAACGTACATCGAAAATTTATTTAACTTCGTGGTAAATTGTTCGTTTCGTTCGAGTACTACACTCGCGAAAGGATTCGATCGTTCAAACGTTCGTGTATCGTCGAGGCAACGACTGAAAATATCATGAGAAATTCGTTCGGAAATAATTGATTAAGAATGATCGCGCTGTTTCTATTTAAAGAAGGAAAGTAAACGCGAGACCTGTACTATGGGAGCAGTGTTGTGTATTGTCTACGTGATCGGCCATGACCATTCATTAATTTTAAATATATCGATGAAAAGTAATTGCCTTTTCTATTCAAGAAAATATGCGTGAATAATTGTTCGAGTGTTTTTCAGCGTGTACTTTTGCAGCCGTGGGTAAGTAGTTGCCTGATACTTTACAATTTTCTGAATCGAAATCGATGAATCTATGCATATTAAGCTCGAATGGTTCGAAGGCATAAAGGATCAGTTAGAAAAGTTAACTTGGGTCACTTGTGCTGCATAAATCGGAAAATATTAGTATTAATTTTTGCTATTGTCAAAACAAAGTAATTATTTTTCAATCAATAGTCATTCAACTGTTTTTATTAATTTAATAACCATGGATAAAAATAATTATTTTCTTAACGAGGTAAAGATGTTAAATTAATTTGTTACAAAGGATATTTGAATGTTCTAATTTATACGCATCTATTGTATATTGCGCAGCACGTGATCACGTGCATTACAAGCTGCAACACAGTTTCATACTACATTTTTTTATGCCCAAAAATCATTCGATCGTATCATAAATTATTTTATCATACGTCTATGTTCTAAAATATATGATCAAGGTTTATTATACGCTTGGAATACACTTGATGCTTGAAAATTGTATCGATTGCACAAGTAGCAATGGCAAGGTGCGCTATGTTGCTCAAATGTATTGGCACAATATGTTCTCAGTCTTTCTTAAAATTTTTCTCAATCGTTTTTAGTCATATTTGCTTCAAATCATTGTTTCAGAAAAATTTGCGAAAGGAAACATCATTATAAAGAATTTTTTCCATTTTACGTAGCCAACTATAAAAAAAAAAAAAAAAAAAAAAAAAAGAAAAAAAAAAACAGCGCCCTACTACGAGACAGGAGTATAGCGTCTGTTATAGTCATTTCTATTATTGATAAGCACACTAACGCGTATCAATCGAACTATGACGTGATTATACGTATGTGCATATGAATAATAAACAAGACTTTGTACAAAACTTCCGCGTATTTCCATGAAAAAAATTCGAATTAATTATTAATCGATTGTGTCATGCGATAGCTCAACGTTTAAGTATAGATACAGCTCTGTAAAGTACAATCATATGCACAAACGAAACGAAACTATTTCTGTATCTGGACTAAATATCAGTTCTGTAAACGAAACTTGAACTAAATCGATCAATTTTTAGGAATGAGTATTCATAGTAGGCAACAGGTGTCATCTGTCCCCAATTGGTGGGATCTTGTAAAAATTAGCATGCAATAAGATAAACGTAATCGAAACATTTGGATCGTTCCTGTAAGTGTTATAATAAATAACAAACAATAAGAGGAATAAAGGATTATAAGAAATATTAGATGAAAGTAGTATCGATCCTTGAAAAATATATGCTTGACTCACGGATAATTTTGATGAAATTGAAGTTGAATTAATTTACCCTTTATATGAACGATTTAAATGAGTCGATTACGTGCCGGTAAAAAAAATCTCTTGCCTAAATGTTTAATTAGCGGTTAAAAAAGAAAAAAAAAGAGACAGAGAGGTGACAGGTACAGCTAAAAAAAAAAATGTACAGATAAATCTTATGCGATCATGACCTTATCGTGACGCGAGGCAATATGATATCGAGTACCATTAAAAAATAACGCCTAAAAAAAAGTTATTGATCTATTTTCAATTTCTTTTGGTTTGAATTTTTCGCGTTATGTACGATTGAGATATATAGGAGAACAAATTTCTATTGTGAATTATTTGAAACGAAATTGTCGATCAGTAGAAAGATTCATTTTTTTTTTCAGCTGTACGCTGATGTTTAAAAATGGCGCTTTCCGTGCAATAATGTTTTCATTTCCGTTGCGCACGTGTGTACGTAAAAGATAGATACGTACGTACGATAAATAATTATGTCACTTCTATCTTACCTGCGATATAGACGATGATATAAATGATGATTTTGTAATCACGGTACACGTAAACACGCATACACACATATGGAGGAGGATATCCAAATGAGAAATGTACACACAATCCAAATGGAACGTATACATGTATAGCGGAAAGTACGTATCAAGTAAAAATGATTCATCGTAAAGAGTGTTTTCTGAAAAAAAAAAAAAAAAGAAATAAAGATCTATTCCATTTTTCCTTTCTAGCTGTAATAACATACGAGAATTGAATATAACATTGTATCATACCTTTATTTATTATCTCGCGTCAAGGCAATTTTTCTTTACCTTCTCAGTGTGATAGTGATAACAAGGAGAGAGAGAGAGAGATACTAAAAAAAAAAAAATGAAATAAATTCATTTTCGTCACATATTGCGAACAGTTGTACAACTTTCCGATGCTTTACGTCACTTGCTAAATTGGATAAAACAATGCACGACTAGTAAATGGCAAATAGTAAAAGAAACGTATTTCGTCGAATTATGGGTGTTTCCATTAAATGCTGTTTGTGATACCATTGCATTTTAACCATACTAATTCAGTATTAGCCTTAATAAGTTGGTACGAGCGATTCTAATTTAGCAGTTTATACGTACAATGGTAACGTAAATGGTGTATTTACTATTAATCGTGCAATTTTAATCAAATGCACTTAATGCACGATTTGTGGACATCGGTGTGACACGCGGTGTTAGCGGTTTAATTCTATAGAGGGAGAGGGGAATATCTTGTTTATCTTTCTTTAATTTGTCACTATTTCGGTAAAAAATTGTACATATATTACAAACAAGTTTAAAACTTTTTTTTTCAACATCCACATTGTTCGTTACACAATTTGCGCGTTATTACGTTGTTTCATGGTTACCTCATATTTTTCACATTATGTGTATACGTATCTATAAAAAAGAACAGTACTATGACAATCATGAAAGAACTGATTATTCTCGTCGCCGAAGAGAAATTAAAATAGACAGGAGGGGGAAAAAAAAATCCAGAGAAAGAGGAAACAAACGATAGGAATCACAGATTTACTTCCGGTAATTTTTCGATGTATTTACATTTACGTGTATCTGTGTGTACAAGATCGTTAAAAACATTAAATGTTTATGCTCGCGTTACGATAATATATATATATATATATATATATATATATATATATATATATATATGATATATATATAATAATATATATATATATATATATATTCATATATTTACATGTGTATCCGTGTGTACAAGTTCGTTAAAAACATTAAATGTTTAAAGGTTTATTTTTCGTATTGCCCCGCGCATCATTAATTTCGCGAATTTTTTTCCTTCTTTTTATTTATCTGTGTCTCTGTGTTTGTCTCTCTTTCTCTCCCTCTCTCGCGTGCACGTTCTCGCTCGTTCTTTGTGTCAAACAACTTCCACTCAATCATCCTCGATTTTAAATATTTTCTCATATAACGTCGCAGTTTATGTACAAGTAGAAAAAACCTAATAACATTATCAACTATCACACCTTGTACACCATTATGAATGGCTGGTATGTTACACTATGCGCGTATTAACTAAAAAGATATTCGTACTGACTTAGAAGTCTGGCTTTCTTTTCTATTCGCGACACGGTTGCTTATGGATCGATTTCGATAAGACCGGAAATACAAACTCTCTTCTCGTGGAAAAAAAAAACTTTTTATCAGGTTCTTGTGAAAATCCCCCCGCGCGCATGTTTGTATAACACTCAGACACACACACATCCATATACATACAAACTCCGTTTTCTCTGGTATGTACAACTAGAAAATACATAACACAGCTACTTATATGTATACAAGTAACCGATTTTACAGGAAATGTACAGAGGTGAACGATGATATTTCACGCTTACGTTCTGTTTAGGACTTAAGTGTACATGACGCCTGGTTTTATACTCCGTTGGAAGGTGTCTCTTTAACTTATCACTAAATTAATATACTTTCCTAGAGCAATGCGCGGTAGGAGTCAGAACAGATAAAGAATAAGAAATTCAGTATAGAAAAATATCAGAGTATCTGTGCTCCTCACACGATTATAAACAAATTAATAACAGATAACATACATGGAACGTAAAAATTCGTAGAACGTACAATTCTTGTGAACATAAACATGTCGTAAATATTACGATTAAAAAAAAGAAATCATACATTTTACTTTTTATCTTTTTATCAAATAAATTAATAAACTTGCATTAAAATACTCTGTAACAATGAAAAAAAGACTGCTATTGGCAAAAATCTTAAAAAAAAAGTAGACAACCTTCCATCGTACAAAATATAAAAATTCTTGCGTCTTGAGAATGATTATGCTTACTAAGCACAGACGTAAAATATACATTTGGTCGTAAAACTGTACGCTTCTTGCTGGAGCGAGGCATTCTTAATATATCCTTATCCTCCTGCAGAAGGTCCTTAATTCTAATAAAAAGCTATCAACGATTCTTATAAATTGCGTTCACAGTTTATGGCAACAAAAAGTAACCATGTTTTTTCTTCTTTGTTAACTATTTTGTGAGACGCGAATCTTATCATAATTATCATAATGAAAAAAAAAACGAAATAAATTTGGACAATAGGGTCAGTTGTATTAATCGCAAAATTAATAAACAAATAATTGGTAAAACTAAGCACAATCGTGCCTGCATTCTTTGTTGATAACCACAAAATGGGTAACGATTTTTCATTTCTCTCTTTTCTTAGAAATAAAGTGATCACGAAGAGAAATACCTTCGTCTCGCTTTATCTCCTGCAATGTTGCCAGATTCAATTTTCAACTCTTAAATTCGTATTTCTTGTATATATTTAAGAGTGTATCAAAATAATTTAATTTATGACTAGTTTTGCCTCTCGGTAACTTTATCTGACAGATACCCGGTAAAATTCTTTTTGTCTCTGAAGAAAAATTCAGAAACAGTTGATCTGCCACGACAAGTTAATCTGTCATACGTATTTACCTAGAAAAGCTATAACCAGTATTTATAAATTTATCTTCTTCTCGTTATATATATCACATACATTCTAAATATCTTTCGTTAGAATGTGTTTGACACAAGTAATGAAATGAATGAAAATGCAGAATCTGGCAACGTTGTTAATATACAATATTTGCGAAATATATACTTGTGATATAGTTTCGCATTCGGTTTCCACATATTACCTTATTTACAAGTCGCGCTAGATAGATCTATTACGTATACTATATTATCTTACTATTTTTAAGGCTAATTTAGCTTGCTGCACACACGTGACGTGGTCCATGTGACATCTGAAGACACTGGGTGGTCAGTCGCTATCGGAGCCCACTGGATTAATTTTTTTTCTTTTCTTTGCTTGTTTTACATTCACAATTTCTTCTTCCTAGTAATTAAATTTCATTAATGCAGAATACCAGAATCCAAATAATACGAAAGAAGGCTGTTTTAAACTACTTTCAACTTTACCTCGCTACTAGATGTACTGTCCAAATGATACCGAGGAAGCGGCCTTTTTGAACTAGACCTTTCCCTCGTGTTAGCACCAGTTTTTCTATGGCCTCCTTTACCACCAGCACCTCCGCCACCTCCAGCAGATGCCGCCGCATGTTTTCGTGCTGAGCTTGTTGGTGGAGGTGGAGGAGGTTCATTTTCTTCGTTAACTTCCGCAAGGGCGAATAAATCTCCATAACTTTTTCTTAAAGAATCACTACTAGCTGCTTGTGCTTGTTGTAGAGCTCTTTGCATTCCCTCGGAATGATAAAGCTGCAATTCAGCGGATGACATACAGTGCTGTCGTAATTGATCCAAATGACCAAGAACTTGTTCGCCAGTAGGTGGACCAGATTGTTGATTATGTTTAGCACTAGATCGTTTCCGTTTGTTTGGACTCGTAGCAGGATAACGAGTACTCAGAAGATTCGCGAGCAACTCACCAAGTTTTTCTTCGTGATCGCGGCACCAGTAACGTAATGCCGCCACAACAAACATATCCCCATTTACATTTTGTCGTGCAAGCAATTGTCGCAAAAGTTCTTGCGTTGGCCTGTTAAATATAATTGATGTTTCATTAAATTTTTATATTAATCATTCGGTTTTCAATAAATAATTTACTTACTTTTCTTGTTTGAGCATAAACAGTATCGATGTTAATGCTTCTGCATGATCTCGAAATTGTAATTTAGGTAAAACAGGTAATATATAATCAATTGGGAAATCATGGGCAAATATAAGCTGCCAGAAACAATATTGTTCAAAAGTTTCCCAATTTAAACTTGCTGTCAAAAGCGATGTAAATGATTCCTTTTTTAACATTTTTAAATGTCCTTGCATTATTTGACAAACTAGTTCTTGCAATTGGCACGCATCAACAGTCGAGACAACCAAATGCAATAATTGTACATTTCCAAGAGCTACATTTTGAAAGCCCATGTATACATCAGGCACAAGGTAACACAGCATAAATATGTTATCTTCATGGCAGAACTATAAAAAAAAAAAAAAAAATACAATACCAAAAAAACAACAAATTAAATTCTAAACATCATAGAATTTTTAATATTAAAAATTTACTTACTTTTAAATCAGATACTAAACACGCATCTAGTTTTTTTTCTCGATGTGCACAAAAATCTTTATATACTGACGCTTTAACATCATTTAACATATTACTGCAATAATAAAGAAAATGATATAGTAAAATGCACATTTTCATTTACATTTGTGTAATTTGACGTTTGTGTACAAACCTTGGTTCGCCTTCCCGTTTTTCCTCTTCTCTGCCCCAGACTTTCAAAAAATAAAGTAGCAGGTAACCTATCCTTGGTTGAACGTTCTGTATTTCTGCAAGTACCCGAGCTAAAAGTTTCCGCCTATTGTCCTCTTCTTTACATAACTGAAACTGATTTCGAAACATTACAAACAACGGCGTGCTTATACTATCAGTCAAGGCTTCTTCATTCAAATTTTCTGTTGGAAATATTTGGGATGTAATTTGTGAGGATAAGATAGTTGATATGCAAGAAGCTAATGCTGGTATAGTTTCTGCATCTATTTCATCTTCTATAACCATTTGTACTATCCTTTCCATCGTTTGACACCTCACTTCATTGTCTGTTTCACTGTGTAAACTTTCTACAGCAGTCCTTAACTCCTCTGGTTCTAAAATTAAATTTAACTGAGACGTAATATCTTCTTTCTTCACTACACAATTTGCATTCTTCAGTTCGTTTTTCAACTTCACATTTGCCAATGGAACATCTTCTTCATCTTCTTCTTCTACTTTAGTCACTATCCTATAAATAGTTAAATATTCTTTAATATAATTATATTTTTATTTAAATATATTTAAAATACTATACAATAATAAACAAAAAAAATGTAATGTAAATGTAAATCAGAATTAACCTCAATGGCATGTCTTCTTCTTCATCACTAAAAGCTGGTTCTGGGTCTTGATTTACATGATTATTTTCGACTGGTGTATTTGCAGCATTTTCCAGTGTAGCCCCTGGTGCAAGATCCTTATTAAGTTCCTCCATTTTACCTGAATATACAGGAACCTTATTTCCTGCTTAAAAACATCATGCAAAAACCAAAGTTAGTAAGCAATGAATGTGCTATAAGCTCGAAGGAAAGGTGAATAATAAAATTTATTAAAAGAAGAGACCAGAAAATGAATTCTAAACGATATTTAAAAGAGAATGTTTTGTTAAAACCACGATACATAAATCAAAATTAATATACATACATAAATATTTTTTTATACTTATATGTACATTTGAATATCTATAGTCACATGCTATATTCACATATTTTTAAAACTTTAAATATGTACATGATATGAAAAATAGCATGAATTTTAAGATGCGATGAATACTTAAGAATTTATACATGTGCAACAGTAAGCTTTTTTTTTAGTGCTTTGATTTCGAATGATCAATATAAAATAAACATGCAATATAGTGCAATAATTTTACCAGGATCTGCATTAGGCGGTAAACAGAATTCTTTGAACGTTTCTCTTATTTTGCTTCTTAATTCACGATCTAACTTGGGACTATCGAACAATGGATAAAGACTTGGTAAAACCCGCTTCTCTAAAATTTGTCTCAGTGATGAGAAGATTCCGTTCCGCACTTTCTCGGTTAAAGGTGGATAGAAATTTGGTATTATCTTAAAACAAAAATTACATTTCAATAATTTTAAGATTATAAAAAGTTGTTAAAATTTATATAATTACTTACCCTGCATAAAAAGTCTAACAATGTGGCAGTGACTGGTGGATGGGATCTCATGGAATTGTGCATGACAAGAATTGCAGGTTCAATGTTCATTATATTATCTTTCTCAGGTTCAAAAAACAACCAGTCATAAAATAAAGCCAGTTTAGCATTGCTTGCAGCCACAGTTGATGTACAAGTCGTAAATAACCATCCTATTACTGCCCATCGTGGTATAATATCTGAACACAATAATTCATTTGTTGGATGAATAACACCAACAATGAATCGTATAAGGTCACATCTTAAAGATTGTGATTCTGGGGTAGCCAGGTACTGTCTTTGAAACCAATCTTGATACCGTTTATGATTTCCAAAACGGACTTGACTGGTTAAAAATACTAATTTCCTTTCCATATCTGGTGTAAGTCTGGATTGTAGAAACCTTCTAGAAGTCCTTGTCTGTAAAAGTTGAAGGACACCACTGAAATTTGGGCAAAGAGACTTTGGATTGAGAAGCATGTCCTTCCAAAGTGCTTCAAATTCAGTTATACGTGCAACATTTTGTAACAAGCGTACCAAATCCCTGCAAACATTAATTATTATTTTGTTTATTGCATGTATCGTATTACAAATACACAAATGAAAAAGATCTCGTATTATTTACCTTCCAATAACCAAACAATCAACCATACGTTCTCTTATTAAAGATACAGAAAAGGTAACTTCTTTTTGACGCAAACCAGATAAATGAGGTGCATTATGATCTTCTATTAATCGTAAATAGGTATAAACAATGGATGCTACTAGAAAAGGGAATTTGTCCAGCCAAGGTCGATTTTCTTGAAAAATGTCTAAAAGTGCATCAACTAAAAACAAATTTCGTGGTGAAATATCACCACCAGCTGCATGCCTTAATAGACTTAAACAAAGGTTATCCACACTAGCTACGCTGGTTCTTATCATCTCCCTTAATAACCATAATAACTGACTTCTAGTCACATCATTCAATCGTAGATATCTTTCAAGTACTAATTGATTGAGGTGTCCTAACACAATTGCAAGACCATCCCGTGTAATTAATGTCAAGTCCCTGTAACTTTTTGCAGCATTTTGAGGATCTGTCAAAATGACTACCAACAATCCTAATGAAACTTCTTCATGTGTCTTATCCTTACACACCGCATTGTTTAACGTGTCGTGGGCTTCCTTTTCAGAGAGTCCTGTAGTTAGATTTTGTAGTACTGTATAACATCTTTCAAATTTCTGAAAAAAAAGAAAGAAGCAAGTTCTATAATATCCCATCGTAATAAAGCATCTTCTAAATATAGCACAGGATAAACGTAAAAAATGATACAAAAAGTGTAACTTATTTGAAGTTTCGTATTCCATATTAGCAAATTGTGAAATTAAAAATCCTGGTAAATAACGTTGAATTAATAAATTTAATAACACGTATCATTGATTGCGACATTCTTATTGGACCTTTCTTATTGGTTGAATATTGTTGAGTAATCGAGAGGAACGAGAGAAACGAATTATTATGCAAATGATTCAAATATTGCCGCGAAGACGCGTGGTTCGACGTGTGGCGCCGCACGGTCAGCGACGTGCGCGACCGTCGCAACAATGGCGGAACCCCTAGTACTCGATACGTATCCAGTGACTATTTGAAATATTTATGTTACCTCTTCCAAGTCGTCCTTATTCTCTATGCAACTCGTGCTGAGTAGCCGGGACGCGGGAGTTTTCGTCTGTTCCATAGCTGCTGACTGGCCCACGGCCGTCGCGTGAACTTTATTCCAGGCCCTGTCGAGCCCTCAGCCCTCAGCCCTGTGCCCCTGGCCGCTTGTGCTCGCCTCCGTGCATCGTGATCGTCTCACTGGTTGTTCGCTCTCTATCTTTCTCTCTCTCTCTCTCACCTTCCCCACTCTTCGTGTCTCGCGCGGTCTCTTCACTCTGTTTATTCCTTACCACGGACCTCCCCGACTCCCTGAACCGTCCCGATGCGATTGCGCATTGATACATGCGTCTCGTCGCTTCTCGGCCTCGCTTCGTGACGTGATCGCTCCCCACCACTATTACCAATCATCGGCCTGGCCAATCGTGATCCAACAACCCGTACACACTGATGGACATTGGTGGGGATACCGTAGAAAAGTAGTGCGGCCAGCAGGAACGTATTTATTAAAGGCGCGTGTCCAGAGGACGGTCACCTCAAAGTGTCTCTGAACCTTCGAACCAGTGTACTTGCTGTGCCGAACTTCGTGCAAAAGGGTATTAGTATTGCCGCGTTCAAATGGTTCGTTTCAGGTGTCACATGATCGTGTATTGATTATTTTTTTTCTTGTACAAACTATAGAACTGTACGTACGCACATATTCATACGATTGTATTACAAATACTTCGCTACGCGAAAACACACTGATGTTTATTGTTATTAGAATAGATGTGTAACGTGTAATGCATTAATATGCACGCGCATAGTACATTTCAGTAATATTACAATCGTGTAAAAAGTAATAAAGATTCTCTACTCTTTAGTTCATTAAATTACGAGGTACAAAAGTTAATGTATTCCAGCAAACTGTTGCATACATTTGAAAGTTTCAGTTTAGCAATGAGAAAGATTTATGATTAAAAAAAAAAAATACATATTTACATATGCAATTATTGTGATAGCTAGTTATAGAAAGACGTTGAATAGATTAACATGTCATTAAAATAAAACGAATAAGTTTGTAAAAACTGAGAATGATATCAAGAGGTCATCGGCATCTAGACTTCAAATTACGTTGGACTTAACAAGAATAACTCGATCGTTGTTGTAATATCGAAAACCATTAAAAATTACGTTTTGCAAATAATATTGTGCATAATCATTTTTACAAATATGTATATTTTAAGAAATAAGTACAACATAGGACGGATGAAATTTGTTCAGATTGGGGTATTTAAATCTACCATTTATTTCATTACGTAGATACGTCCCTGCGGTCCATAATTGCGCATGCGCGTACCCGTACGCATGAAAAGGCTACTCGACTAATCGCATTGGATTCCCCGGCCACGCTTTCCGCTCTTCGTTTCTTCGTGTTACTTAGTGAACACCTTTACGTTCTTTTCCGAATTCCTGTCATTTTGTGGTTACTCGAACGTCACGCGATAGCTTCGGATTTTGCGCATTAGTTATAGTACATGTTAAAAACATCCTGCTGGGTGTACAAAATTTCTGCGCATCGATACGTTCGTGCAACGTCAACCTAACCCCAATAAGTGCAGGAATCGCGCACCTGACATTCCGTTACGATGTATAAGGCTTTCCTCCAGGTATCCGTGGTGCTACAAGCCTGTTTTCCTTTCTCTTTCTTGTTTTAATATACACTACATACTCATTTTCATCTCCTACTACACGATTGTAATAATTTTTCGTTAATTGGTTATGATTCAACTTCATACAGATGTTGGAACTCTGTTACTTTGATTGCATAAATATTAATAAATAAATCGATTCAGAAAACGGCTACAATATTTTTTTACTGTTTCAACTTAGTATTTGAACAACATATTTTGATTCGTTAATAAATAGTAGTAAAACGTAATTAGAAATGCGGCTACTAATATATGGAATGTTTAAACGATTTTCCGTTCAATACTAAAATAGTTGTTGGAAGATTTCATTAAACAAAAAATATATTGTTACATCTTGGTTTAATTCGTTATACTCGTGCGTATAATTCAAATATATTACTTTTGTATTTTATAATATTTCGTATGTAATATAGACAAAAATAAATAGGGAAATAAAAAGACGCATATTGTCAGTTTTTTCAAAAGTTTGATCATAAAAATATTCATATTTTTTTATATTATTTAAACACCATGATGCACACCCTTCGAAGGTTTCGAGAGAAATAGCCCTGTTTCAACGTTTTACAATGCTTACCTACTTGTAAACGTCAATGAACGCATGCGCAAAAGAGAATATCGTGAATAGCTCTCATCAGGATCGTATATAAGATGGAGACACAAAAGAGAAATATATCCAAAAATATAATAAAAAATAATTTATATCAGTTTTATATTGGTGAAATCTCCCATTTACCAAGACTAATTTGTTCAAATAGTTATATTCTTTCATATATCATAAAAAGTTGAAAATAGATTAAACAGTTTAAGAAATGAAAGAATGTTATTCTATAACAGACTTATTGATTTTTTAATATTCTATAAAAATCTATTCTTTGCTAGATTAATATTATTTTTTTCATAAATCTCACTGTTATACTCGGTTGATCTATCTTATTAACTTTCTTACGCTGATCTATCGCGCCGTTATATTACTTTTTATAATCATGTATAAGCATGTATAAATTTGATACTTATTAAAAAAAAGATGACGTTTGGATACAATATATCTATAATTCATTCAAAAGTTCTATATTAACCGAAATATTATACATATTCGTAGAGGGAAAATTTGAGATCGTAAATAATCAGGAAGAACATGTACTTATTGTTAGTATGTAACAGCTTGTACATTTGAATTTACACTTAACGAACTCTTAGTGATCTACGGATAACTGAGTTTCGAGCACCTGGCGCACTGCCAATGCGGTTGAGAAAAAAAAACGTGTTATCACTAACATCATTCATTAAGACAAATACATAGCATGTTATGTATCCCTTTGTATTTCAATTTGTATAATAACATTTGTATGAGAATTTAAATGTATTACAACTTTATATTTGAAGAATTCATACAAATAATTTTTGTACAATATTGTTAAATATATATACAATATACTTATTATATTTGATATAAAAACTTTGGTTTTTTATATCTTCTTTCATTCTCGTCAACAATTTTATAAGTTTATACGGAAATGTATTCTCATGTATAAAATTTACATAATTGAATAACGTATACTGTTAGTAATTAATTTAGAAGAGATTCAACATGCATTTACTAGGATATTGATTCGTTACATTTGGATTAATATATTAATTCAATTACACAAACGAGTTATAAATGGAAGAGTTTTAATATAATGTTTGCCAGGCTGAGTACGATATATGTATTGCGATTAAGTAAAATATGTTCATTAATATGTATAATTTTTAATTACATATCTTTATGAAAGTGTATTGCGATATTAGTGACAATGCGTAAATATTTAAGATAATTAATTTTAATATGACATATGAGAAAATAATCAATTTGTAGATGATCATGACATAGTGTAATAGTTTATAATAATTTAGCTTATGGAAGAATGTGAACAAATTTCAATCAAGTGTAATCTATGTTACTATTACATATTCATGTTTTTATATGTACGTGTAATCTATGTTCTTAAGTAGTTTTGATGAAGTAATTTAGTGAGATTAAAAATTCTTTGATATTAATAACAGTATTGAACTACTAAAATCATTGAAGTAAAAGATACATATAAGTATTTGGAAAATTTGATATTATCAATTGTGTATTAACTCATGCACATTCATACTTGCAATAAAGGCATAGTATATAATGTATACAAAGTTTAAAATTTAAATAATATGGTTTATTGTATAAGTATATAAGTCTATATATTAAGAACTTCTGTTTTCTTATTGGTTATTGTATCTGACCAGGAATTAAATACTTTTTATGTAATTGATTATGTTTAATTTTTTTTTTTTTATTGTGACAAGTAGTGCAAAAAATTTAATGTAAACAATCATTCTTTTGATTGAATAGAATATTCGTTGTATACATCAGGTGTATAGATAGTATGGTTAAATTATTTGATCGTACAATACAACCGTGATAAAGTATAAATGGCATAAATTACTGTTTGCCAGTTTTTATCAAAATTGAAACATTTCATATTTTTAAATATTAGTATAATTTATATAACAATTGAAGTTTTTCTTATAATTTGGAATTTAGAAACATTTGTACTACATAACTTATCAGTAATTATATTATTGCAGCCTTATTTCTTGTGATATATCTCAAATTACAAATTAAATTTTATAACTTTATAATGGATTCAATTGTTAAGTAGGAATTGTTCAATATAAAAATTTCTAAACATAAAACACAGAAATATTCTGGCACATGGTCATCATTGTCAATATTTTAACATCATTTAACAACAACTAAAGTATAAAATGTAAACAGTATCAATATAATCTTCAATGTAATAACATTGATCATAAATATTTAGTGCTTTCCTGAGATGCTAAAAAGTGTATGAATTTAAAATTTACATAAAAACACGTGTCTATCATTAATATTATTAGTATCAAAGCACACTACGATTTTCCTTTCTTGAATCTTTGTCGTGCTTGAGCTTTACTGTATTTTGGATGTTTCTCTTTCTCGTTATTCATTTCAGCTTCAACATCATCAAATTCTTCTTTATTATCACCAAAGAGATCCACTGGAGGTTCCAAAAGTGATTTTCTTTGACATTTTACAAAATACCGGAATCCCTTTGCAATGCCAAAACCCAGCATTGCTATAGACATTGTTAATAAGGCCATCAAAAGAGGATGCTGCATCCAACGAAAATGAATAAAATAACCATTATAAATATCTGTCTTGAAATCAATTTCTAAAAATATTGAACCGATACATATGTATATATATATATATATATATACATACCGTTAATGTAGGTTTATTTGTAAAAACATAGTCAGCAATTACAACTATTACTCCAAGTATGATACCAACACCAGCACCGAGCCAAGGTATTTGTTGATCAGCTACAAAATAATTCACCATATTAAAATTTCACATGAAATATTTTCATTATGATTATCTGAACATAATAGATATAATACCTCGTTTGTCTTTAATTAGTAATTGTGACACTCTGTTCATTGCCTCTAAAATTGTTGGTTCATTTGGTTGAAGAGATAAAGCTTTATTGTAAGATTGAAGTGCTTCACCGAGGCGAAAAGTTTGTGATTCCACTTCAGCTTTTCTAAAATAACCCTACAAAAAATTTAAACATGCTACAATTTCATTCAACATAGCATAAATAATTTATTTAAAAAAGTCAGTCTAACAAATGCACATATACCTTGGTCCAATCAGGTTTTAACTGAATTGTCATTAATGCATCTTCCATTGCAAAATGATATTGTTGTAGTTTTAAAAATGCAAATGATCGATTACTGTACAAGGAATAATTCTGTGGATCTAGTTTAATGGCATGAGTGTAATGGAACATAGCCTCTTCATACTTTTGTTCTTTTACACATGCGTTTCCACGTTCTTTGAGGTTTTGTACCTTCAATGAAATTGAGATAATGTAATTAAGTGGGATTACTGCAATGTTAATTTCAGGTTCTTTTACACAACGTAATATCATTGATATAAATCAATATTTTGCATCATTTTACATCATTATATCTTACGCTTCGATCATCAAATAAATATAATTATATAGTCAACAAATGAAGAGTGTAAATATTAAAATATAGATAGGAAACCTACAAATGCTTACCTCTGCTTCCCGTGTGTTCGACATAATTTACAATTATTATGACGATCGGTTACATAAAACAAATTTTACAAATTATTATCTAATGTATGCGTCATCATTGTCTTTCAGATAATTTTTAAGTAACCTGTTATCTATAAAAAAAAATGGTCAACAACAAGAAATAGTCGAAACACTTGCCATGTCTTTTTCACCGGTAAGTACATGCGCAGCGAACATTGACATGTGATACTGCACTGCGCATAGTCCTCCACCCGTCGTCAGCTGTACTGTGTTGAAAATGTTTAAGTAAGACAAGAACAGACATTGACTCTACTCTTTTTTTGATACTCGACGTTCTTCCATTGGATATTCTTGAAGAGACGTCTCTGTATAAAAATGGGCTAACGATTTTCACAAGATGAGCACAATTTCTTGACACGATGTTAAAAATATAAACTTGCTTATGTATTTATATGATGCCTCTTAATTAATAAAAAAAAAAAAAAAGAGACGTTTCAAATGATGCAAAACGTTCAACAGCGAAAGAATGGAGGAAAGATGTGAAAGAAAAACAGATTTCTTTTTTTATCATCATTTTAATGTTTGAAATTCTCCATGTCATACAAATTAAGTGGGGGCATTATAATACAAACTTAAAATATATACATCGATATTTCATGAAACTTCTCAAATAACTATGCAACTCATCCGTTTAATCCATAATCTATAGAATCTCTTTCCGTTATTATTGATTTACTTATTTATTTATTTATTTATTTTTTTTTTTTGTATGCTTTTCTGTTTCGCTCGAACCTACTTCGTGTATACTGTGCAACGAAACTGGCAAGTCGTTTGAATAAATATTTTTTTTTTTTGCTTTTTCGTACTTTTTTCTTTTGCTTAATTAGCCAAAATGAATCACGACCATATCTGTTGTATCTTTTTAAATGAAAAGCGTCCATAGTAAAATGGAGAATCGAATACGAGCTCAGTTTTGTCAGTTCGACGAGTGGAACTTGAGATTTCTCGACGTTGACGACGAGATTAAAACCTCTATTCGGATTATCGACGAAACGACAGGCACTAATAGCGAGTGTTGAAATTATTTTATTCGGATCGATTGTTTACATCGATCGCTCGTTAGCAATGATCGTTAACCGTGGTTTCGGATAGATTTTCTTTTCTTTTTCTTCGATGACTTAACCGTTTGCTTGTTCGTCTTTCTTTTTTTTTCTTTCTTTTTTTTTTACTAATACATATACGTCGTTATATCTTCGACCAGGAATAAATCTTAGCGAAAATAAATAGTGGCCATTTCTCGAGCACAATATGAAAAAAGGATCGATATAGCGGACAGATTAAGAACTCTTACGATTATTGGAGGACAAATGGCAAACATTTGCTTTCTCGCCAAGTTGCTGTGCTTATTATTGCCCAAGTGGGACGGAAGTCACGGATGATTTGGCACTCCTGTTATTAATTTTCTAACGCCTATTCACCTGCGCGTTCCTCTTCTTTCCACTTTTCCCTCTCTCTCTCTCTGCGTGCCTTTCTTTTTCCTATCTTTCTATTCCATTGTATCTTTCAATATATACAAATTGAAAACAAAAAATCAACAAAAAATGGACAAACATGTCGAAAAGAAGAAGTACTTTCAGAACAGACTTATCTGCTAGAGATCGTTCGATTTCGCTTGTCTGTTCTCACCGAAACTCAACAGACAGACGAACCAATTTCGAAACAACGTTACGCAAGTTTGTCGAATACAATAGAATACAGTTGATTCAGGCGAGAACAGGATAATTTAATCATGCACGCAGAATACGACCAAAAAAAAAAAAGAACGAGGAAAGAAGAACGAGGACGAAAACTCGTTTACCGCGCGCAGTCACGTGCATGATTCGATCGTTGAGTCGATCCGATTCTCCATTCGCACGATCAGGATGTTTCATCGTGACACGATACGCTTCTTAATTTTTCTTTTTTTTTTTTTTTCGTTTTCTTTTTCTTTTGTTTTCCTTATGCATAACCCACATCAGTATTGTTATTCGTTACTGTAAATTGTAAGTGTAAATTGATTTTTTTTTTTTCACGCTTAAAATACATTTTATACATACTCCGTCTACATTCTCGCATATACTTGTCACCATAATCGTCGTCGTAATCAATAAATCATTAAGCAGTAGTCGTCATCAAGAGAAAAAAAAAAAAAAACACAATATGTCATTATACATATAATATATATTATATATATGTATAAAATCCATCGACATACTCGCTCTCTTTCTCTTCGTTTCGGCGAAGAAAGAATCATCGTTTCGCGTCAATCGCATCTCCATCGTGCACGCAAGTTCTCTCGTTATCATCTTCTCTTTTCATTCTTTTCTCCCCACGTTTTGAGTGACATCTTTGTGATTTCTTTCGTCTTTTTTTTCTCTCGCTCGATACTTTCACATGTATTTTACTTGATACGCGAAGTTCTTATGTTTTTTTTTCTTTCTCTCTCAAATAAAACAGAGAGAACCACGCGGGAGAAACGGCCGGAAGTACACGTGAAACAGAATCGTAGGAGGAAGTAGAGGAAGTTGTTTCGCCCAATAGCGTCTCGGTTTTGTGTGCGTTACTCGCGGATAACAACGAACCGGAGAGTCCACGGTAGAAAAAGGATCTCTCTTTCTCTCTCTCTCTCTCTCTGTCTTTCTCTTTTTCCCTCTCTAATTCTCGCTTTTTCTTTCACCGGTACATCGGATTCGTTGCTAGTACGCTACAAGCTGTATGCTTTGTTCACGTACGACTTATGACCGTTCTACCAGGCATGTTTCGATCCTTGGACACGCGAGAGATCACTTTTCTTCGTGTGCTATAACGATGATCTAGATACTTTACGGGGAATGTCTATCAGCTCAACTCCGTTGAACACATATCGTTTTAGGTATTAATTAACCGTTAAATGTAACATAGAATCTGTATATTTGTAGGCAATATTTCGGTAGTGGTCAATCGGTTACATCGGTAGTAGTTCATCTTAACGTTATCTCTCTTCTCAAGTAGTGTTTTTCAACGAAAATGTTCTTTTTTTTTTCTTTTTTCATTTCAAGAAGTAAAATTTCATTTCATAAAGTAAAATGTCGATCGATACAGTTAGGGGAGTAACGTGTACGTACCGCGCAATGAAAATTACTAGAAACTTGAAGAACTTTGTTGGAACAGCGTTTCCATTCGGATCGAAGTTCGTACGATCGGGTGACATACTCCCCTAATAGCTTCGCGAGGAATATCTTGAATATATCTATCAGCAGTTACGTCTATTATGGAATATTGTGTTGCTAAAATAATTTATACACGCCCCTTTATAAGACAGCAGACACACGAGCGTTATCTGTGTAGACGTTTATGCTTATTCGATTAAAAAAAAAAAAAAAAAAAAAACACCTACTTGTATTATTCGAATGATATGATTGCACGAACAACTACTGCGTGTTTGTTTTGCGCTTACACAACGCAAATAATCGGTCAAACGATTTTGCTTTTGTCAACTTTTCGCTCGTCGAATGTCTTCTGCGCTTTCGCTTAATTACGTTATATTATCAGCAGGATTCCAGCTGCTGACGTCGATATGATTTGCCGTTGACGATTTATTCATTTGTTACGCGTCGACGTTTGGACGAAAGAAGTTCCTCGCTTCCAGAAGACGCGATCTTATTTTTTCCACCCTTCGACAAGTTGATTGCGCTTGGAATTGAACATTTGATATCGTTACTGCTGTAACATTGCACGAACTCGAGGATAACGATCGGAAGTTTAACATATGTAAGTAATAACATTATAATAATAATGATAATAATAATAATAACAATAATAATAATAATTAATGATGATAATAATAATAATTATTATTATTATTATCGTAGCAATAATCGTAATAATTAGTAGAAGAAGAAACGAGGGGGCCGGAGAGAGAAAGGAAGCAAAATGGAATACAATCAGTTAGAAAAAGGAAGAGAAAATTGTCCTTCCTTTCTTCATTCTCTGTGTATATATATCTAATGATTGTTGTTTCGATAATCGAAAAGAGACATACAACGCATCTCCTTCTTCTTCCACTTACAATTGTTCAAAATCGATTTAAATCGTTCACCGTTGTCAACTATCGATAACGTTCCACGCGGCCGTTCGTCGCGTTCTCCATTCACCGCCAACATTAATATTTAAATTCCTCTCTTTTTCATCCGCGTTTTTTCTTGTCTTTGTATATATATGTGTGTGTGTGTGTGTGTGTATGCATAGGCAATAATTGCAAATACAACTATGTAATGAATATACGAGGCTTTGTCAGGGGGAGCAATACAGTCGTCGTCAATAAAAATAGCCACGAGTTACATTATACACTCTATCCACGAGACGACGAACCCTCCCGTGGGATCGTCCGACCGCTGTGTGTTGTGTTCTGTGTATTTTGCGCGTGTGTATGCGCGAGTCCTTGCATGCACCTCCATTTTCACTTGTATCGTATCGGTTCTACACGATCGGAGCGCGGAATCGAAGGGGGGACGGGGGAAACAAAACGAAGGAAAAAGGTAAAGCAACGCGTTTCATTTCCTTCTTCTACGTCATCGTCGTCGTCGTTGTCATTCCGTTCCCTCTGTTCCTCTTCGTTTTCACAGACAATGGACAGAGATTTATTTATTTTCAATTGCCGAAAGGCAACCTCGATTTCGTTCTTAAAAGGACAACGACGAATTGTCGAAACGGTCACGCTGCCGCTTCGTTACGCTTCTTTTAAGTCGCCGTATTTTATAAATCGATTCAGTCGTTTTCACTCGAGTACGCGAGGTAATATACATATACACATACATATATATACCTACTTAATAAGCACTTGGAGAATTCTTTCCTGATAGTACGTAATGTTCCTTGTGTTTGTTGATAGCACGTAACGAGGGGGACTGGTCTCGTGATCGTCTTATAAACACAGACGGCAATCGTCAATGTTTATTCATTGCCGAAACCAACGAGATCGAGCCTGATAACGTTTCTCGTTCGCCATGTTCACGACGGTCAGTCGCTCCCTGTTCTTTGTTATTACCTTTTTTTTTTTTTTTAATAGTTTTTTTTCGTTTTTCCTGTTACTTTTTTTTTCATATTTTCTTTACGAACTAACCCTTAGTTTGATATGGGATACTAGAAAATCATGTTTCTTCGTTATTCTTCGTCCTGATTCTCTTCACCGTTACAAAGCAGTGTGTACGCGCGGTCACACGCGATCTTCAGTCATTTACAGC